GATGTTTCATGCGAAACGGGCGGAACCACCTCAACCGGTTGAGAATGTCTCGACGCGCGGGCCCCTCGGGCGGCACTCGTTCTTACCGCAACACTGCCCCCCGGCACAAGCCAGGCAACCCGGGGATACTCCAAGACAGAACCCATTGAACGGCAACAAACGAGAAGTTCCTATATACATATAGCATTATGCAACGACGGGTGCAAGTCCGAACTCCATGCCACATACGATTCAGTCCACGACGAGGCAGAAGCATGCACAGCGAAGTTCTGCCCTCTGCCAATCCTCTGCCCGCCACCTGTGAAACGGTGCACATAACATAAGAATATGTAGCGTGGCTGGGGACTGCTTAATTAAGCTCGAAATCGAGCCCCGAAGGGTCGTCCCCCCATCTTCGCGAACGGGGGCAACCTCAATACCGTAAACGTCGTCGAACCAGTCATTCCCAGAATCAACACCAGCCAACGGTTTTTTGCGGGTGTGCTCCGTCGGGGGCGGCGGCTGCGGCAACAACTTTGGGAACTGGAACCTGGGGTTAATTGGTCAATTCAGCGTGCTGGGCCTCCGTGAAGCCCGCGGTGCGACCTGGGAGGGGGCGCGCTATCTCGCGCCAAGAAGATGCAACGAGCTACGCTATGTAGCACTATGGCTCGCAACGTCCGTCGCTTCACCCCAAGCTGCACAACGTTTGAGAGGTTATGTTTGTTGCAAGCAGCTGAGGCGGCCTCATCGGCCTCTTTATTCGAGGCTCCTTGAATCACAGAACTGTTATCTTCAACTACCCCTCTAGCTTTCAAGTGGGAGTTCACATGGGTGGCGTGGATAGATTCTTCGGCCCTGGCCACACGGGCTCGGACGCCGACAAGACGTCGCTCCTCAACATCGGGGTGCTCGGGACCCTGCAAGGAACCTCCATTGTCAAAGGGTCTCGGGTTCCACGATAACCTCCATATTGTGCACGAACAGATGAATCGGGGCTTCACGCGCGGCAGCGATATGGGCAACAGCGAGACCTTCGGCCCTTTGGGTCGATTTGTGGGCCCTCGAGATTCTGTCACTCTATCTCAACCTAGGGCTATCTCCGTAGGCAACGGCAAAGCCCGCCGTGGGAAGACGAGAGTAGTTGGCGTCAGTACACGCTCCGTCTGGCAACACTTGGATCCACCGACCAGGGCTTTCCCCGTCGACTTCTTACTAGGGAGATTCTCTACAACACAGTCGTGCTCATCACCGGCCTCAATACTCTGTGGTGGGCGTGGGCGAAGCTGCGGGGGGTCCAAGCTAGGGAACCGACCAAACTCTACCAGATGAGGACGCCCCAGAAAACTCCCACAGTGCCGCGTGCAAGGAGGAAGCTTGTTCCACCCTGCATCACCAATCAACTCTGTGAGGGGCTCCCGATGGGTCCTCCAGGCTGGGCAACATCTCAACATGTATTCCTGTTCCATCTGCTTCGTTACAAGATCGGAAGATGGGCGCGGCTCTTGACAGTATCTGTTGTCTGGCCGCCACAGAGGATATGATAGTTTGTTCCAAAAGCCCGTCTGCCTGCAGCTTCGTGTGCCGCAGCCAGGTGTTGCCGAACGCGCCCAAGTGCTGCACGGATGTCGCCAGCATTCCCAGATGGTTCCTCGTGCGAACGACCGGTGTCTGAAACCACAATCGCTGTGACATACGAAGTCCACGGTAAAAAAGGTATCCACTGGAGCACCTGATCCAATCACGCCTCGTGCCCTTCTCCGTGTGCGCGATATGGGGCTCAAGTCACTGCCAGTCTGGCTCCATCAAGACCTCGGTAAGCACCGTGACGGGGCCAGGTGGGTCTCGAGGTCCCTACACGGCAGCGTTGGGAAACTTGAGCATACGTTGTTGTGGCCTAGGTCGTTCGAGAAGCCGCAGCAGGGTTCTAAAGACCTTTCTGCGCCCACAGTGTGAAGCTCAATGGTGTGCCCATTGGTGCCGATGTGGCAGAGGATCCATGTGCAGATCCACTTGATGCCCTTCGGGCAGGCCACTTTGAAAACTGTCTGCCAAAAGGCATCCAAGCTCTTTTGCGGTGGGGCAGGCAGGTCCATGTCAATCGCAATCATCAAAGCCGAGAGAGACCGTACTTGTTCTCCCTTCTCCGTGATGCTGAGCGGCAGCCGTTGGATCCTCACAAGCCGGGGTCGTGCGTCCTCGAAGCGCTGATTGAACAAGGAGGAGCCTTGCGCCCCAAAGGTCACAACTGGACGCCGTTCTGGAGTTTTGCCGTCGATAGTGAGGTCCTGGATGTCGCTCTTCTTTTCGCTGTTGGTGGTCCAGCCCTGCACCTTTTCAGAGTGTACCTGTTGAGCGCCTCGGCAAAGACAGCAGCATCTCGCTGATAGGAGAGGACGAGGAGGAGACGGAGGAGGAGCAGGACCAGTGTAAACCCAGGAGCCATCAACGATGTTGGAATAAACCCTCCCCCAAAACTGCCTCTTCACAAGCCCCTATCAGAGCTTCGTTTCCACTGAGGGAACTGCCCCGTTGGGGGACAACCTTTTGATACGATTGTAGCGCGTCAGAACACAATTCCAAAACTTCGTCGCCAGAATGTATTGGATTGCTGCGCCTTGACGATCTTGAACCGTGACAGGTTATCATTCCTGGGGCCTCATCGCCTCGAACCACTAACTTCTGCTCGCTCCACCAAACCCTTCCCGGTACGGCCACCATGAAACATCAGAGAACTGTGCGCGGCGCAAAAAAGAGAGCCACATTGAAAAAACACCCACCATCAATCCGTCAAATTATTGCAAATGTTTAAAACGAATGTGCGCGGGTCTAAGACGAGAACCACATTTTCAAACATAATCGGCTTCAATCCGTGAAGCGCTGGCACATGTCTAAAACGAATGTGCGCGGCGCTGAAGCGAGAGCCACATTTTGAAGACCGCCCGCCCTCAATCTGTGAAGCTCCTGCAATGTTTTGAAACGGATATGCGCGCTGCGAAAACAAGAACCACATGTTGAACACCACCCGCCCTCAATCCGTGAAGCTCTTGCACATGTTTAGAACGAATGTGCGCGGCAATGGGGCGAGAACCGCATGTTGAAAACCGCCCGCCCTCAACCCACGAAGTTCCTGCATTTGTTTAACGCGTGCGCGCAGTGCGAAAAGGAGAGCCACATGTTAAACCACCCGCCCTCAACTCGTGAAACTTTTGCGCACTTCTACAACGAATGTGCGCGGCGCCAAGGCGATGAGCCAGAGGCTCTTGCGAATCGACGCTAACCGACGCTCGTCGGTGCTCTCCCATCGACTACCATCACCGAGGACAACCCTTTGGAGCCACCACGGCCCCCCAAATAGCCGCCGAATTCCGAAGGAGTTGCGCGACAATTTTTTCTGGTTTGAAAGCATGCAGCGCCGGGCGCGTAGGCCAGCCTGTACTGCCCCCTGACGAGCATCCATGTTGAACCAAACATTACCGCGGCCGTCGCCATCAACACCGCCAAAACCACAAGATAACAAATGTTACAATCATCGTCGGGCTGAGGTCAGGTCAGTCTGCGTCGCCGCACATCGACTCTTTACCGAAGCTGAGCGCCACGAGCTCCCAGCAGCATTCGTCGACAGCTGTCAAGAGCAAAACCGCCGAAATGGTCCTTGAAAGGGCCACCAGGAGGGCCGCCGAAAGGGCCGCCGAAATCGTCGCCGAAATCGCCGCCGAAATTGCCGCCGAAATTGCCGCCGAAATCGCCGCCGAAATTGCCGCCGAAATTGCCACCGAACTTGCCGCCGACCTTGCCGCCGAAATTGCCGCCGAAATTGCTGCCGAAATAATTACGAACTCCGCCAAAATAGCCGCCGGAATTCAGCCGCCGAAATCGCCGCCGAAATTCAGCCGCCGAAATTTTCATTGCCCCGTCGCAAGCGAAATCGCTGTTCCAGTAAGCGCGATGACGCCGCAGACACAGGCATAGAGTCACAGCCAAGGTCAAATTCGGTCTTTTCTCGGCGGAACCATCTGGAATTTCGGCGGCAATTTCGGCGGCAATTTCGGCGGCAATTTCGGCGGCAATTTCGGCGGCGATTTCGGCGGCAATTTCGGCGGCAATTTCGGCGGCAATTCTGGCGACCCTTCCGATGGCTCTTTCGGCGGCTCCTTCGGCGGCAATCTCGGCGGCCCTTTCGACGGCTCTTTCGGCGACCATTTCGGCGACGTTGCTTTGGCCAACTGTCGACAATGGCTGCCGGAAGCTCGCGGCACTCGGCGACCCCGGCGGGCCCTGAGAGGGCCCTCGAAGGGCCTCGCCAGAAAGCGTCTGCGAAGTAGCTCAAGCCATGCGTGATTTGCACGCGATAGCATGCGCAACGTGCAATGTGAATGCCTCGCATTATACGTCAGCACGCTCTAAGGTGCGTCTGGGAACCACCGCGCGGCAGGGCGCGCCTGCACACTGAAACTCTAAGAAAAACCTCAATTTCGTCTGGAATGGATTTCGGCGCGCGCCCCTTTTCGTCTCCAAAGAAAGAGCCACTATGACTACCATGCGCTCGCGCACGCTGGTGCACTGTAAAAACGGGATTGCGAGGACACATGCGAGGCTCCCATGAGTTGCCACCGAACGACACCTCGAAGCGAGACGACCTCCAAGAACAATGACATCGTCCTCCACGAGCCGACCACCGACATGCGATTCCTTGATTTGTTCCAGCGCGGGGTCCCCGGAAATCCCGACCGCTTCCCAAGGGCTGGCTTCTCATCCTTCGTCGTTTTTGAAGGTCTTGAAGCCTGGAGAGGGCCCCGTGGAGGCCGAACATGTAGAAACGCCCTCATATTGTTTGTTCACGACGCGAACATGTCTGCGACGAAAACCACCCAGAATGAACAAAGATCTGGGGGAAACCCGAAGGTACCAATACAGTTGCTCCCCAAAATTGTCGAACACTACGCAAAAGGCAACGGAATCGGTCCACCTTCCTGATGTCTGGCAACGATGTCTGGCAACGATGGCGCCGAGGCGCCGGCCGGATGTTTGGAAACGACGGCCCAGGCGGGCAGGGAGACCGCGGCGCCGCCAGAGGCGAGACCGGGCAACACCGGCATCACGGCCGCCCCCGCGGGTGGACTTCCGCGGAGCGTCGCGGCCGCGGCCATCTTCCTGTATACGGGGGGAGGGGCGGGGCAGGGGGCGACGGCGGGGGCCGCCTCCCTCCTCCTGCTCCTGCTCCTCCTTCTCCTCCTCCTCCTCCTCCAGTCCCTCCTCCTTTTCCTCCTCCTCCTCCTCCTTTTCCTCCTCCTCTTCCTCCTCCTCCTCCTCCTCCTTGCTCCTCCTCCCTCCTGCCTCCTGCTGCTGCGTCCTCCTCCCTCCTGCCTCCTTGCGCCTCCTGCGTCCTCCTCCCTCCTGCTCCTCCTCTCCTGCCTTCTGCCTCCTGCTTCTCCTCCTGCAACTGCTGGTTGGCGAAGTGACCGCGTCTTAGATTGGCCCCCCGAAGCGAGGGTCAAACATCCGCCGACCGTTCGGCGTGTGCGAAAGGCTTTGCCGTCCTCGTCGTCGTCGAGTCGTCGTCGTCGTCGCCAGTCCCAAGGAAATTGAGCAACAAGGAAAAGAAACGTCGTAGTTAAGTCCTCCCGGACGGGGGTCGGGGTGGGGGGTTGGGACCCCCCGGGGTCTCGGCGGGTCCAGGGCGGGTCCGGGTCGCCAGCGGGGGTCCTGGGGAGGTCCTTCAAGGTCGGCAGCACCAGCCGTAAGGTCTTCGCAATACATCCTTCTCCTGCTCCTGCCTACTGCTGCTGCTGCTCCTCCTCCTCCTCCTTCTCCCCCCGCCTCCTCCTCCTCATGCTCCTCCTCCTCCCTCCTCCTGCTCCTCTCAATCCTGGTCCTCGCCGCCCGCGGACACGGCAGTCCCAGCGGCTCCACGCGGGCTTCCCAAACCCAAACTGTCCCTGGGCTCCCCTGCAGTCCCAGGCCGGCCTCCTGTTGAAGCGGGCCCATGGGGTCTGGTTTGTCCTCCACCGCCGTCCTCATGCCTACTGTTGTGGTGGAGAGAAGCCGCCGAGCTCAATCAAACGTATTCCATCCTTTTTCCTGTTGGATGCCGAGGCTACTCATCACACATCAATGAAACAATAAACATTCACACATGCAATGTACAGCGCGGACGCGGCCGCAAGAAACCCTCGCAAGAAACCCAACCCTGAAAACCCGCGCGCGAGGTGCACCTGAGGGGAAAGCCAGAGCATCCTGAACGCACCAGCTTCTTCAACGGCTGCGGAAAGTCACCGCGCAGCTCGCGGAACGAAGAAACCCAGTATGCCCTGTTGAAAATCATATGGTTTCTTGATGCGCACCCCACCTGTAATGCATGCGAGCGGTGACGGGGCGGCGACGGCGACAACAAACGCGGCGACTGGCAGTTTGTCCCAGAAGCAGCGGCGACGGAGGGCGGCGACGCACGGCGACGGCGACAACAAACCCGGCGACCGACAGCCAGGCCCAGCTCCTCATGACAAACGAAGTGCAAACACTGTTTGGGGAACTTGTCCGAACGGTTTCATCTAGCGCTCAGTGAAGGCACGCAGGCCTCCGACATCAGCGGTTCATCATGATGCCCCATCTCGGCCCCCATTGCTGGCGGCCTCCCAGATGGAGTCCGAATCGATGGGGTCGAAGAGATCGGTGTTGAATCAGCGCCAGTGGCGTGGACAACATAGGAGCCCACATCGAACCGCATCGTCGATGCATGGGCCCCATCTACTTCGACCCCACTTGGGAAGCCTGGAACTGCGGTCGGGAAGGATCGGACGGCCGAGGACGAAGGCGGCGGTGGATACCTTACGTTTTTTGGGGGGGTTCTTGTTCCCCACATCCTGAGTGGGGTTTTCTTGTTTTCATAGAACATCATCTCCTCCTCCTCCTCCTCCTCCTCCTCCTCCTCCCATCCTCCCTCCTCCCTCCTCCCTCCTCCCTCCTCCCTCCTCCCTCCTCCTCCTCCTCCTCCTCCTCCTCCTCCTCCGCTACCATACCTACCATCTCTTACCGTACCTCCGATACCATAGCATACCACTACCATACCTACCATACCTACCAGACCATACATACCTACCACACCTACCATAACAGACCTACCATACCTACCATATCAACCCTTCCATACCATACCATAACATAGCATAACACACTATACCACACCTATCACACCATACCATACCATACCATGCCTACCATACCATACCATACCATACCAGACCATACCACGCCTACCATACCAACGCTACTATACCATACCTAACACTCCAGGGAGGCAACGCAAGAGAGGCCACTCCCACTCCCAGTCCTCCAGGGAGGCCCCGCCACGGCGAGGAGGGTATTCGCAAACCATGCTATTTATCAGGTGTCGTGCCCCTCCCACTCCTCCAGGGAGGTCCCGCCTGAGCGAGGAGGGACTTCGCAAATCATGTTATTTATTAGGTGTCGTGCCCCTCCCGCTCCTCCAGGGAGGCCCCGCCTAAACGATGAGGGCATTCGCAAACCATGCTAGTTATCAGGCGTCGTGCCCCTCCCACCCCTCCAGGGAGGCCCCGCCGGAGCGAGGAGGGTATTCGCAAACCATGTTATGTATCAGGTGTCGTGCCCCTCCCACTCTTACAGGCAGGTCCCGCCTGAGCGAGGAGGGCATTCGCAAATCATGTTATGTATCAGGTGTCGTGCCCCTCCCACTCCGCCAGGGAGGCCCCGGCCTGATCGAGGAGGGTATTCGCAAACCATGCTAGTTATCAGGTTTCATGCCCCTCCCACTCCCCCAGGGAGGCCCCGCCTAAGCGAGGCGGGTATTCGCAAACCATGTTGTTTATCAGGTTTCGTGCCCCTCCCACTCCTCCAGGGAGGCCCCGCCTGAGCGAGGAGCGCATTCTCAAACCATGTTATGTACTAGGTTTCGTGCCTCTCCCACTCCTCCAGGGAGGCCCCACCTGAGCGAGGAGGGTATAACCATGTTGTTTATCAGGTGCCGTGCCCCTCCCACTCCTCCAGGGAGGCCCCGCCTGAGCGAGGGCATTCGCAAACCATGCTATTTATCAGGTTTCGTGACCTTCCACTCCTCCAGGGACGAACGCGCTTCTTGCTTTCGTCTGCCATTTATTTCATATTGCTAGTATTTTGCCTCATTGACCCGACGAAGCCCTCAACATCCTCATGTGGGGAACTCCCTTCGCATATTTTGTCCAGAACGCCCTCTCCTGATTATTATCCTCCTTATCCTCCTGCTCCTCCTCCTCCTCTACCGTACCTATCATCTCACACCATACCTACCATACCATACCATACCAACACCATGCCTACCATTCCACACCTTCCATACCACACATACCATACCAGACCTGCCATACCTACCATACCAACCTTACCATACCATACCGTACCTACCAGATCATGCCCTACTATACCGTACATACCATACCAAGCCGTAACAGACCGTATCTACCCTACCATACCACACCAATCGTACCGAAACTACCATACCATACCTAGCACTCCAGGGAGGCCCCGCCGGAGCGAGGAGGGTATTCGCAAACCATGTTATTTATCAGGTGTCGTGCCCCTCCCACTCTTCCAGGCAGTTCCCGCCTGAGCGAGGAGGGCATTCGCAAATCATGTTATTTATCAGGTGTCGTGCCCCTCCCACTCCGCCAGGGAGGCCCCGGCCTGATCGAGGAGGGTATTCGCAAACCATGCTAGTTATCAGGTTTCATGCCCCTCCCACTCCCCCAGGGAGGCCCCGCCTAAGCGAGGCGGGTATTCGCAAACCATGTTGTTTATCAGGTTTCGTGCCCCTCCCACTCCTCCAGGGAGGCCCCGCCTGAGCGAGGAGCGCGTTCTCAAACCATGTTATGTACTAGGTTTCGTGCCTCTCCCACTCCTCCAGGGAGGCCCCACCTGAGCGAGGAGGGTATAACCATGTTGTTTATCAGGTGCCGTGCCCCTCCCACTCCTCCAGGGAGGCCCCGCCTGAGCGAGGGCATTCGCAAACCATGTTATTTATCAGGTTTCGTGACCTTCCACTCCTCCAGGGACGAACGCGCTTCCTGCTTTCGTCTGCCATTTCTTTCATATTGCTAGTATTTTGCCTCATTGACCCGACGAAGCCCTCAACATCCTTGTGTGGGGAACTCCCTTCACATATTTTTTCCAGAACGCCCTCTCCTGATTATTATCCTCCTTATCCTCCTGCTCCTCCTCCTCCTCCTCCTCCTCTACCGTACCTATCATCTCACACCATACCTACCATACCATACCATACCAACACCATGCCTACCATTCCACACCTTCCATACCACACATACCATACCAGACCTGCCATACCTACCATACCAACCTTACCATACCATACCGTACCTACCAGATCATGCCCTACTATACCGTACATACCATACCAAGCCGTAACAGACCGTATCTACCCTACCATACTACACCAATCGTACCAAAACTACCATACCATACCTAGCACTCCAGGGAGGCCCCGCCGGAGCGAGGAGGGTATTCGCAAACCATGTTATTCATCAGGTGTCGTGCCCCTCCCACTCTTCCAGGCAGGTCCCGCCTGAGCGAGGAGGGCATTCGCAAATCATGTTATTTATCAGGTGTCGTGCCCCTCCCACTCCTCCAGGGAGGCCCCGCCTGATCGAGGAGGGCATTCGCAAACCATGTTATTTATCAGGTGTCATGCCCCTCCTTCTCCCCCAGGGAGGCCCCGCCTGAGCAAGGAGGGTATTCGCAAACCATGTTATTTATCACGTGTCGTGCCTCTCCCACTCCTCCAGGGAGGCCCCGCCTGAGCGAGGAGCGCATTCTCAAACCATGTTCTGTACAAGCTTTCGTGCCTCTCCCACTCCTCCAGGGAGGCCCCGCCTGAGCGAGGATGGTATAACCATGTTGTTTATCAGGTGCCGTGCCCCTCCCACTCCTCCAGGGAGGCCCCGCCTGAGCGAGGAGGGCATTCGCAAACCATGTTATTCATCAGGTTTCGTGACCTTCCACTCCTCCAGGGACGAACGCGTTTCCTGCCTTCGTCTGCCATTTCTTTCATACCAAAGCTATCATACCATACCTAGCACTCCAGGGAGGCCCCGCCTAAGCGAGGAGGGTATTCGCAAGCCAT